AGATCTTAGTCCCTGCTGGGGATGCCAGAGAATGAACCCGGCACTCTACATATGGAGCTTGTCTTCCACCACTGAATGCCGGCCATTCCCTGTCTTGTTGGCTTGGAAGAGAGTAACGACTCAGTGAGCCTTCTCCCTCTGGACAGCAGCTGAGGCTAAGCTGGCAACTGGCCCTTGGAGTTGAGTGTTCCCTCTGGCAGGCCACGGGGGGAGCAAACTCCCTGCAGCTGCTCCTTCTCTGGCCAATGGATGAGGCCATGTCCTTGCCATGACATTTTTCTTGAGAAGTGGGTGGCCTTGAGCTCCCCGGCCAATGGCAAAACCCAGACCATGCTTCTCTTTGCTAATAGTCACAGATGGCTGTGTAAACTGCAGTCTAAAAGCTACACACCAAACTTGTCAGTGTGAATAACTGCTCTGTGACACTTATTGTATGCAAGTAAGACCTTATTAGTCCCCAGGGTTCTGCATAGGTATTCCTGTATTTTAAACAGACTCATTTCAGACAAGAACGTTTTTGGCCAATTACAAACTCAGCCTTTCTAATTCTACTAACCTGGTACGCTTATAGTAAATTTAAACAAGTTAATATGTCATTGGTTTAGTGACTGGTGAATAATGTCTTACACAGCCTGGTTGTCCTGGTGCCATCATTCCCCCCCACCTCCTTTGCATTGTTAAACATTTCTTGGGATAAGGAAGGGGAAGGAATGATGCCTTGGTGCCTTGAAGGATTCAGTATTTAGGGTCTGCTTGATTGCTAGGAAGTTAGAATTTGGCTGTAATACCATCCACACTTACTTTCAAGCAGGTCCCACTGAACTTTGTGGGGCTTACTTCCGCAAAGACATGCCTATGGCCATACTGTTCAGATCCCAAATAATTTGTAGGAACTGGCTGGGTTTGCTGAAAGACACTTGTCTCTGATCCTATATAAGGGGGGAAAACAGTTGAGAAGGGCAGTGCTGTGATTGCGGTCATGTTTTGGTTTGATGATCTTGGTCAGGGATGGCCAGCCTCTGTATTCCCAGGATCTACAACATTCTCCAGATAATGTTGGGGTGTTCAGAGTGTATTTTGCTTACTGGTATGATTTCCCAATCATAGTGGGTTCTGAATCTTCAGTTTGGAGGTGCATTATCATGTTACTGAACCAGAACCTTCATTATACTCAATAAAGCTTGTTACAAAATAAGGTCCTGATCCACCTGAGGCAATGCTATCTTCACACAGAGCCAGCATGGACTTGCTTTTAAGTGAAAAGTGAATGCATGTATTTTGGTTTCTCAATGCACTGTTTACTCTTCCCAATCTACCAAATATTATGCAAGAAGGCAGGGCACCCAAAACAAGATTACCAAGATTATCACAGACCCTTTTTAACAAAGGGAATGGAAAGGGCTGCTACCTCTTACTACTCCTCTTAGAAATGTTGTATCCCACCAGTATCCTACTGAGCAGTGATAAGGTTCATTGGCAGACTCAGGGCTTTATAATAACTCATGGCAAAACAGGAGTCCTTAAACCATGAAGGAAGATTTATGTAAGGAAAAGAGAACAGCACATAAAACCGGACATATAAAATAAAACACAGAATAGCATGCTAGCTGGGATGGAAATGAAAAAACAGAACTGTCACGGAAAGAAAGTCATCATTTTTAAAGACGTTACTACTGCATTGGCAGTACGTGTTGTTCCTCTCAGTCAGAGAACAAAGCAACTCTCATGTAAAACAGGGTCTCTTTCGCAACACGCAGCTTCCTACTGCTTCTTAGAGGGAAGAAAAACTGTTGAGAAGAGCGCAACCTCCTTCATAGGGGGAAATGGCTAATTTCAGTTAGGGCTAGTGACCTCATAAGCTCCATGGTTTTGCACCAAACCAAAAGCATTTTTGTTGCATTTCATCATGGACAAAAGGCTAAGAGGTTGAAGAGGTTGATCAACCTTTAGCAGGGAGTGTCTACCAAACTGTAGAACTGAGTGGATGTGAGATCTATATAGTACACACAGAGACAGTCATCTGGGAAGCCAAATATTTTATCTGCTTCTCACAGCAGTGGCATGTTTTGGTCAAGAGGAGTACCACAGTATCTACCCAAGATAGCAGACACGCTGTTTTTGCTATCTTTTGCTGTCCTAAATCTCTCAAAAACAATCTCTGCTTCATATGGTGTGCCTGGGATCCATGCTCTGGACAAAGGGATGCGGCTGGCTCTGGGCAGGCATTGTAATTTTGAGCACTGAAGTCTATAGCTGTGAGCCTGCACACCCATCCAGTGAATGAGGCTACATGGGGGAGGCTAGCGGACCGCTAAGAGGAAGCGAGGGAACTGTTTTGTTTTAAGAGTAATGTTGAAAATATTGTAGGGAGTGGACAGCACTGAAAAAAAGCATTCTCATATTCAGAAAGGCAGCTAGGGTACTGGGAAAACTGGTTTCAAGCTTTTGTTCTGTTGCTAGGCACTTGAATTCTGTGTTGTATCTTTCTCCAGCCAGAACGACTTGGATGTCTAATTCTTTAGCCAACAGCAAAGCCATGCCTCTGTATGAAAGCTAGGCTGTGATGTTACTGTTTGTTTTGTATATTGGTTTCTGTAAACAGGCAGTTGGAGAAGACGGTAAATGTATCATGGATACTGTAAATCGGTTTTCTGTTGCTTCCTGGTCCAGTGCAGTTGACTATTCAGGACAGCTTTACCAAGTTCATTTCTCTGGGAGAAAAGAATATTGAAGACTTTAATGGTGTGTTGTAATAGCCATCGAATTACCAATGTATTGACTGATGCAAGGCAGCCTGTCCCCAAAGGCAGCCTGTCCCCAAAGCTGCAGCAGTCCAATTCCCTGGAATTCTAGTATCACTTTCACTTTCTCCCACTGTTTCCCCTCCCCCCTCGCCATTCTTGGCCAAATTCAACCTATACAAATGGTTCTTTTTACCTTTTTCAGGTAGCCATAAAGAACCCAGAGCTACCAAGATTGTTAAATGCCAAGCTTTGCAAACTTTTGCACAACAGATTTTGTCTATAACATTATATTTTAGTAATAGTGAAAAATGATGTTTAGTAAGAGAAGTGATAGGAAAAGCTCAGAGCCTTTTGCTGTGGAGTAGTATATGCATTTAATAGATATAAAAGAATTCATCCTGTACTATTATACAAAAGCCTCCCTGCTTGACCATGTTATGAATACCTAGGATCTGTTTGTTGTTCTTACTATGCTTACCTCACAGAGTTGTAGAGCTGACATCAGGCAGAATGGGAAACATTCTGGGGAATATGAAAGGCTGCATGTGCTCTTTTACTTGCCGCAAACCATTTCTGCATATTTTATTTAGAGCATGTAAAAAGGGTTAACATCCTTTCACACATGGCATTTGTGGTCTCAGCAAAATTATGTCCAAAGAAATCTCATCATTCCTCTGTAGTTCTACACATATTAAAATTCATTAAAAATGTAGTAAAGCTTGTGGCTCAAATATTTTTATAATCATGTAAGACTAAGAGGAAAAAAGAAGTTGTTTCTAAAGCAATTAAGCACTCTGTTGAAATGAATTTAGAGGGGAAGTGCTCAATTATTTTTAAAGTTTCCATGGCCACGGGCAGGATGCCACAGCTCAAAATGGCAATTGTTTCCCTGTCTTGCTTGAAGGCTTCCTGGGGGTGCGGAAACAGGGTGCCTGATTGGATGGGTTTTTAATCTCACCTAGAGGGCTCTTCCACTCTTAAATTTCTGAACTGATATATTTCACATCAGGATCCAAAGAGATTCAGAATCTGAATTTGTTTGCAAAACGTACTTTCTGTGGATTGTTAGGATTTGGGAGTGGAGTTCAGGTCCACTAAATGTTGAAGTTTTGATGACAAATCTTAATTTTCTCTTGAATTGTAGAGCTTTGCACATCACATCTCAGTCTGCTCAGATAATGGGAGAAAACACACTTGCCTATTATTTAGAGGCTTTGTTCTTGCTCTCAAGAGAGGTGTTAAAGATGCTCACTATGATAGGCTAAATAATTTGTAAGAGGATCATGTAGATTATCATACTGTAGAAATTTGGTAAGAACAGTTTCATTCCACCTTTATGTTTGCCAGATTGCAGAATCTCAGAGATGCAGCTCGATTATCTTTGCCGACAGGTAGACCCCTACTTCAGTGAGACTTTCTCCCAGCCGAATGCATAGGAGTATAGCTTTCCTTTCAGTGGCATCATAGGTATGTAGAAGCGTAATTTGTGAACATGCCTCAAGAAAGATCCTTGAAATTCTTTGACCCTTCTCCTAGCTGACAGGTGCGCTGATATGGAAGTTTCGCCTTTATGAAAAGTGAGCAGAGGTGGGGAGGAAGAGGCCGCAGGTTGGGTTCCCATGGGAACATGGTGGGTCAGGCACACCTTCACCATTCAGGTCGTGTGAATCCTGTAATGTTTTTGGAAGGGGTTGGAAAGAGTCCACTGTCTCTTTAAGAGCTCCCAAGGCAGCGTTTCCACCGCTGGAAGCTGGGAAGGTGGCACTGCTCGGGGAGAACCGCTCAGATCCTTGCGCCAACTCGGGTGAGGCGAGGGCAGACCAGAGTTGTCACTCGGGGATCAGGCTGAGGAGGAGGAGGAGGAGGAGGAAGGTGGGGCACTAGAGGACAGGGGAGGTTCTCCCCGCTCTTCTTCGCGGCTCCGCGGCGCACCATGGCGCTCCCTCGGGGCACTCGGGCTCCTTCCCGGGGCAGCGCAGCGCGGGAGCCTTCTCAGCCCGCCCGAGCGGCGCCCTAGAGAAGCCGAGCCAAGGAGGTCCTCGGCGGGGCCGCTCAGCGCCGCTCTCGCAGCGATGTGAGTGCGACGTCCCGAGCGCAGCAGGGCGAAGGAGGCGCACTCGAAAGCGCCGCGCGTGGCCGCCGCCAGCCAGCGACTTCGCCGCGCATCGCCTCAAGAGCGGGGCCACCTGTTACTCCGAGCGCTGCTCGAGCCGAGAGCCCTCCTCAAGCGGCGGCGCCGCTCCCGCCGTTGCCTCTGCGCGAAAATGGAGCGCGACGGGCTTTGCAGCGCGGAGCAGAAGCTGATCCGCGAGAGCTGGCAGAAAGTGAGCGCCAGCCCGCTGGAGCACGGCATCGTCCTGTTCACCAGGTAAGGCAGCGGGAGCACGTGCGCGGCTCGGGCGCCTCTCGGGCAGATCGCCGGGCCAGCCGCGAGGGGGCCAGGAGCGCTCCCCGGCGCAGCCTGCAGGCGCAGGCCAGGGCGCGCGCTGACGCCGAGCCTCGAAACTTCCGCGCCACTCAAGCGCCCCTTTTGGTCGGCGCAGCCCTTGTCCCCGCCGAGGACACGGAGCCCTCGCCCTGCCGCCCGTCCTCGGCCCCTTCTCGGCTCCTGCAAGCCACTTGCCCGCTCGGGTGCCCTCTCACAGGTCTGCCGCGATGCGCTTGTTCCGAGCACCGCGCGGACAGGGCTGCGGGCGGCGGCGGGGCGGGGGGGGGGGGCGGCCGGCCGGGACAGGGGCGATCGCCCCGCCCCCGTCGAAGCCCTCCGTACCTTCGCCCTCTTCGTTCCCGAAGCCAGAATGTGACGAGAGACTCGATGTCGCTGCCCGCCTGAATTACTTTCTAGCACCTCGGAAGCGCTTGGCGCGGCTCTCCGGTTTCCTCGTGCTCCCGGGCGGCTGCATTTTTGCGCCTCCGAGGGCTGGAACGGCCGGGGGAGGGGATGTGCGGAGGTGAATCTCCAGCTGCCTGGCTAAATACGTAGTAAACAGGAGAGTGTCTCGGGGATCGGGGCAAGATGATTAAGTCAGCTTAGGGGATTCTCATTTCTTGACCCCCCCCACCTTCTCGTTATCTGCGGGGGGAAGGCAACCTGTGACCAGCAGCCTCCCCTCCGCGCTTCCCCGCTTCTTTACCCGCGGGCAGCGATTAGGCTAAAAAGGCTTCCATTGATGCCAGTGGAGGCTTTAAAAATACTGCTTACGGGGGGGGCGGGGGTGAAGATTGGGAGTGGGTCTGCATAAATGGATGGGTGAATGTTACGTGCGTTGTGTGAGAGAGCAGGAGTGTGAGAGAGCAGGCCCCCAACTCATTAATGGCGCCCCCACTCACTTTTTGGGGAGTAGTGGCTGCCCACCTCTGGCAAGATCTGCTGAAGAGGAGTGCTCCCTCCTGCCTTCCAGGATTCCACACTCGGTTATGCATAGAACTCCCCGTTCTCCTACAGGATGGTCTTACCTCACTTCTCTTAATACAGAGGTAGTGATAAAGGCCTGGAGGGGAGGATTTACTGGTGTGTGAGAGGAGAGTAAGCAAGAGGTTTGTGGCCACCAGTCCTTTGAAAGGAAGTAATACCTCCACGGGCATCTGCCATCAGGTCAAAGTCTGGCTGTATGGGCTAGGAGACACCGATGAGTTGGGTGCAGGAAGCCAAATTAGGATTATGATTCGTATTGCATTTATATCCTGCCATTTTCCTTTTGCAAGCAACCTAAGGCAGCTAACTTGGTCCTCTTTCTCCTTCCCACGTCCTCCTTACAACAACCCTTTGCAGTAGGTTAGGCTGAGAGTCAGTGACTGGCTCAAAGTCATCCAGTGAATTTCATGGGCGAAGCAGAGACCTGGGTCACCGCAATACCAGTTCAGTGCTTTAGTTGCCATGCCATTCTGGCTTTCAGTTCCTAAGTTGTTTCTGCAGAAAGGAAGCGAGTATGGTGCAAAATGTTGTACAGAGCAAGTCTTATTTTGGAAAGCACTCTTCACCTGCTGCTGTTGCTACAACCACTGCTTCAGAGAATGGCACTTTACAATGTAAGAGGAGATGAATACTCTCTGTTTTCTAACAACACAAAGAAAGCAGAGAGTATGTAATAAAAAGAGGTCAAGCAACCTCAACAGTTAGAATCACGCCACCAGAAGAAAAGGTTTCAGATATGAATGGAGTGGTCCTGTTCTACAAAAGAGACAGCCACTGAAAAGGGGAGTCAGTTATTACCAAGGCTTGATATGAAGGTTTTGTTTTTATTGTTTAAATCCAGATTTTAAATTATTTGAGGCTGTTGAGTGTGGGGGATGGAATATGTGTGCTGTTTGTAAAACGTACTGAGGATCAAGAGAGAAGCCAAAAAGTTACTCAAAGAAAATGACTTTCCTAATAATAAGAGGTATAAGATCATTAAAAATAAAAGCAAAAAAAAAGGGGGGAGGAGGGCTCAGTCTAATGAGGCTGCCTGTAACCCTCTGAACTTGCCTTCATGCCCTGTCTACCCTTCAAAGTACTTAGGCAGCCAATTTTGACTGTCCAGCAGAGTTTTGGAATGGGAGGGCAGGGAACCAAGGCACCATCCCCCTCTGTCCACCCTCAGAATGCCCACTAACCCCCTTCTCTGACATCACTTTTGTCACCTTGAAGAAGCAGCTGGCATTATTCTTTCTCTGCTGGTTGTCAGGTGGGGGAAAGGCACTGCAAGCTCAGAGTTCCCAGTTTTGAAACTGAAGCCAGGCCACAAAAAAATCCTGTGGCTCTATAGACATTGCCTAGGGGGCCATAGGATCACTCTGCCTGTTATTTTAAATCTGAACTTCAGAAAGTAATGAAGGTTAAGCACAGAATGAATTTGCAAGGGGAAAAAGGTGTAGATAAACATCTGTAACCAAAAATACTGAAGGCACAAAATTCAGAAAATCTCAGGTTTCAGGAAACTCTGGACTATGATGTATGCAACTGTTTTTCCAAGAACTTGGACGTTTTAATTGCATATATATATATCGATACCTATATGGATATCTATATCTCACATTTAATATTAAATACGTAGATCATAGTATTGCTTTATTATGTAACCTGCATTTATATGAAAAGTTAAAATCACTGTTTACATAGTTTTGAATTCATTCTCACCAGTGAAAATTCCCTTTTAAAAGTACCAAACTGGGAGGGACTTGAAGTGTAGGGAAAATCTTTTGTACATAACATCATCTTGACACTTATTTTCATTTTCCCTGAGAATCCCAAGAATATGTAGAGCAATGAGAGAGTCATGCAGATTGCCATTTCATTGGCAGGAACTAATCACAACTAACACATGGAAATAGGGGGAAAATGCTTAAGGCTTCTGGGACAATGGAGGGACCTTTCTAGTGAAGTTTGAGCCTCCAGGAGGATTCCGCCCCCCCACTCCATTTTAGACACTTACCCACTAGATAGAAGAGCCTGGACAGTGAAAAGAGCTACACTTCTGGGTGCACTTATTTTGGAGTGCACCCCATAGAACTCATGACTTTGGAGTAAATACCCGTGGGATTGGTCTTGCAAGACATGTTGGTTTCACATAAAACTCTGCCTTCCGGATTAAAGACCAGGAACTGATTGGGAAGGGGAAAAGGTTGTTTGGCTCCTGTCTTCTGCTGATTTTTTTCCTGGATGCAAATACATGGTTTTCTCTAATTCAGGGAGCAGCTCCACAGCCCTTTTTCCTGTGCTCAGCTCTGCAGAGTTTATCAGAGCAGCTTCCTAATTGCTTGTGACATGGCAATTGCCAGAGCGGAGGCCAGGCCTAGCCCTTGGGGAGAGGCTCAATTAATTCCAGGATCAGTCCCAGGGCAGAGGAAATGGTGCATGTGAGAGAACAGCTGAATGCCTGGTGCATTCTATTAACCCCTGGGCTAAAGAGGGGAAAACTGGAAGATACAGATGGGACAGGGTCTCTGAGCCTCTGGAAACTGCAGTTGTTAAGAAACAATGTAATTTCATTATACAGTATTGTGGCTTTAGAGCTGGGATGCATTTCAGTCCTCATTTCTATTAGATATTTTTGGAGATTCTGTGCCATGATTCAGGTTATCAGACCTCACAACAACCCCGAATTCTCATTAGTATAGTGTGAAGACTGGAAATGCAAGTGTTCAAAGCAGAGTTACACCAGGTCAGAGTGTATGTCCATTCAGCTCAGTGATACCTACTCTAACTGGCAGTGGCTCTCCCAGTGGGAGGGAGAACGTGGACGTTACTTGCTGCCTGCTTCTTTTAACTGGAGTTGCCAGGGGTTGAACCTCAGACCCTCTGCATGCAAGACATGTCCCCCACCACTGAGCCATAGCTGCCTAAACAGGGAGAAGGGTTGTTTAACTTCCTCTCATGAGTAGAGGGTGGTGCTATGTTTGTCTAGCTGTAATGCAATTCCGCTCATTTTGTCTCAGTTCAGAGCCAAGCTCTAGACTTTCGTTTCCAGGAAATAATCCAACATGTCTGTTCAGGTGCCCCCATGTCATCTATTGGAGGGCTAATCTGCGACAAAAAAATCAGTAATACCAAATAGGGAATGTGATACTTGCATAGATCAATTAAATGAATAGATAAAGAAACATATGTAGTATTTCTCAGGGCAAATGTAGTACTGTCCATTCAATGAAGAATAAAGGTATGATCTGTGGTGCACTTAAAAGTTTGCAAGGGTTGCACTTAAGTTTTGGAACTAATCAAGGCACATTAGAAAGCAGCAAGTCCCTAGAGATGGATTGAATTCACCAGAGCAGCAGTGCAAACCTCAGCTCCATGAGTCAAACCTGGCCTTCCTGGGTTCCCTTGAAGGCTGCACCCTGTTTCCATGGCCCCACTCTTTTTCTCTCGACCTCCAATCATTTGGTGGCTTCCCAGATTTTGCATGTCCCTCCACCTGCATTCCGACATGTTGAACCGCCTCTCCCAAGGTGTCACTACTGGAAGTAAGAGCCTTAAACAAAAACGTACTGTGGTCCCACCTCTTTAACTAAAATGTATTTTAAAATCAGCTTCAGCATGGGCCATGCAACACCTGTTTTTCGAATAGGTCACAGGAGCTTATATTGCTTCCAGACAATTCTCTATTGTGTAAATTTGTGGGAAGCGTGATTAAGGCTACATTAAAACCACACATGGAATGTATAGTGCAGCCAGGCTTGCTGAAGGAAGCGTTGGCGTGGATTCTTTAGGTGCCTTGCTTCACTGACTTTGTAAAATGTATTGAAAGTGTCAACAAACATGGAGAAGGATGATTAGGTGAGCATTGTTTATGTGGGTTTATATTTCTTTTAAAGGGAGAGCTTTTGGCAAGCTCCCCTTCCTAAGGAAAGGAAGTCAGAGATGTGTCCTTTTATGGGCTAGTAATTGATTAAAAGATAGAAAGCTGAGGTTAGGAAAGGACAGGCATTGTTCACCATGGAGAGAGGCAAACCGTGGCTCTTAGTTAGCTGGACTGGTGCCATTTAACCTATTTAAAAGTGATTTTAGGCTAAGCAGTGATAGAGCAACTTTGTGATGACACCAGGGTTTTTTAAAATAATAATAATATTTAGCATAGTGTTACAGTTTACATGCCACCTCTCAGGATGCAAACCAGGAGCTCGTTTGCAAGTTACATAAAATAATATCACAACAAACAAGATAAATGCAAAATAAAATGATCAAATGTTAGGATGTTGCAATGACAGGTAGCATTAAGTATTTTACATTAGCATTTTAGTAGCATTTTACAAATGACTGGGTAACTTCACAAACAACAGGTCCAACAGCAGCTGTTATCTGTAATGGCTAAAATGGAGCCTCCAGCTTCTGTGGCAGTCTGCTTTTGACTATTGAGAGCAGCTGTGGTATAGTGGGGAGGTTTCCAGTTCAAATCTAAACCCTCTCATGAATTTACTAGGTAAGTGATTTTTACACATTACCACCTACAATATTACCGGCCTAACTTCCATGCTATAGTAAATACTGTTGAAGTAATTATTAAGTGTTTGAACACTCAAAAGTGTGATATAAGCATCAACTAGCATTATGCATTGTAGCTGCCTTCAGATTTGGGGCACAGACAGAGGCACAAAACAAAAATAAAACCAGAGGATGTTTAACTCCATCATGCCAATGAACCAGATGGCCCTAGGGGCCTAATCCAGCAAGGCCTTTTTAATGAAAGTGCCTAGGCTGGCCAATAACTCGAGGCTTGGTGTCAAATGGATTTTGGTGAGCATCTGTTTATATTGCCATCTACAGGAAATCTTGTTAGGTTTTTCTTTTTTAATAAAGCCTTCTTTGTGCAAATGGCTTTATAGTCCCTGCTTGATAGGTGACATCAGTTTGTTTCATTAGAATGCCAGCTCAGAATGATTGAGAGGCTGGTCTTGCTGGGATCAGACAGTTCTTTTCAGCACCACCACATGTCTTCCCTTATATCTCTGCATAAAGCGCAGGAGCCTCAGTGGGGCCGTGTCGTGTTTGGCTGAGAGCAGAGGAGAATCACCAGAGAGATGCTCAATAGGCAGGGTTAAGAGGGCAGCTCGGATGATCCGCATGTGTGAAATGCAACCTGGCAATGACTTTGGTAATGAAGGACACAGTGGGTCTGACCCTGACACGCTTCGCCCAATTAAACATGACAGGAGTGAGAGAAAGGGAAATCTGTGCTTTTATTCTTGAGAATGAAGTTCAGCTACAGCAAAGGGGCAATCGCATGGCGGAGTCCCCTTTTATACCCCTGATGAACAGGTAGGGATGACAGCTGCTTATTAGACTGCAACTGCCAACTGGCACACTCGAATTCACGTGGTGCCTGCACTTACCTGGGAGGCTGGTCTACCCCAAGTTGGGCTGGGAGCTTCTGGAGGGGGATTCCTCTAAACCCCTGACTGCATGGAGGCTCCAGTTGCACTGATAAGACCTGAATACATGGCCAGCCTGTCCTACAGTATGTTATGGGGGGTGGGGAGAGCAGGGACAAGCAAAAACCCCCCTGCTGGAGGGAATGTCAGGATCCATCCAATATTATCTAGTGCAACAGCACCCCCCCCCCCCACAACATGCTCTCTGTGCTCTTGCACAGCTCTCGTTTCTGCCCCAGAGGTTCCTCCAACCCTCCAGAGCTAATCTGGAGCACAGATGAGGGGCTCTGGAGTGAAGGAGAACCGGTTCCACCAATGGTAAGCGTTCTGCACACAGGATTGGATACAACCCTCAGAAAGAGCAAAAAAAAAAAAGACTCTGGGGAGAGTTGAGGAGGTTAAAACTTGTGATAGTGAGCATTGGATGTTGCGCTAGGGAAGTACTGAAGCATCTTCAGTGGAGCATATGAACTGCATTGTCAGGGACATTTAGTTGGAAGAAGCCTTGGTGCAAGCAATGTTCCAATGCCCCTAAAGGTGTCATGGTATCTTCATTCTTCTCTCCCCTCCAGAGCTTTATCCCTTGATATGACTTGGGCTCTATATGAAAGAGCATTTTTAAACATCATGTCCCTCTTACACTCTAGCAGTGTGTTGATAAATCAATCTTATTTAGCCCTCCTTATTTAACCTGGTAGGGACTGTAGGTGGCACAGTGGTTTAAACTACTGTGCTGCTGGGCTGGTAGACTGAAAGGTCGCCGGTTCGAATGTGCACAACGGGGTGAGTTCCTCTTGCTCCATCCCAGCTCCTGCCAACCTTGCAGTTGGAAAGCATGCAAATGCAAGTAGATGAAAAGGTACTACTTCGGTGGGCAGCTAACAGCGTTCCGTGCACTTTGGTGTTTAGTCATGCCGGCCACGTGACCACGGAGACTGTCTGCGGACAAACGCTGGCAGCTAGGAAATGGAGATGAGCACCACCCCCTAGAGTCAGGCATGACTGGACATAACGTCAAGGGGAAACCTTTACCTTTTTATTTAACCTGGTGCTCGCCATATGTGCTGGGCTACAACTCCCATCATCCCCAACCAGCTTGACCTATGGCCAGGAGAGAGCACGGTGGTACTGTAACTTTTGCCCAGGAGCAAGAGGATTGTTTTGCCTCTGCCATTTCCAAGGACAGCTCTTGGGCTGGGGGGAGTTCACATGACAGCTTGGAACTGTGTTCGGGAACTGGTAGGGATGGAGGTTGGCAGGAAGGCTGGCATCATGTAGAGGATCAATACCCCCTGCCTGCCAAGAGCCGTTGGCCTCCTGGTGCTTTTCCTTGGCTGCTCTTGTCAACCGCTTCAAGCTCAGTAGGTGTGCCAAGAGCCAGGGGAAGAAGCAACTGCTTCTATTTGCCTTGCATTCCCCTTTGGGGCACACTGAAGTGTTGACTTGTTCAGGGGAGAGAAAGTGTCCTTCTCGCGCCTGGCCCTGCCACTCTCAACTTTTGCTGGCCTTCTTGGGGTGTGGGGATTAGAGCAGCAAGTTTTCCAGAAATGGTGAAGCCATGGAAAGGAGGAAAGCAGGTCAATTTGGGGGTAACAGCCATTTGGAACTTAATTGAAAAATACGCTATACCTTTTTTTTAGCTGCCTCTGTTACTTTAAGAAAGTGAAATGTATGAGGTGAAACTTAAATGCATAAGCTCGTACATGAATAAGTAATATTTAAAACATTTAAAAGTAAACTCAGTAAGTTTGTAATTATTGGCTGAACAGAGTATCTTACACTAGGCATGATCATTACATGTTTTCCTGCTTCCTTGGGCTGCTAGGTTGATCAGGTATTTCAAAGCTGTCTCTGAAATACCTGATCCACCTAGCAGCCCAAGGAAGCAGGAGAAGCTAGAGCCAGGGCAGTCACCCACAGAAGAAGGATTGTGTGCAGCAGCTGTTTGCGAAGCAATGCTTGGGACAGAGCTGAAAGGCACGTGATCGAAGGGGTAGTGACCAAGAGCTCATTTACACATAACTGGGGAATCCTGGCTAACCCACCATGAACGATGACGAAGCCTGTCTAAGAACCCTGGAGCAATTTCAACCTAACCAGAATAAGCTAAGAAGCACGAGGAGACTCTATGGAAGAGAACCTAAACTGCCAGGAATATGCATACTTCCTTCACATATTATGATACAGTAATGCCAGTCATATGTTACAAGCTGAGCATTATCGGGAATGGTAATTTCAATATGGAATGGAATGGAAGAAATTATGAGGCTGGGAATCTTGCAGTGAGGATTCACTTCCCATCCATAGCTTCAAAAGTTCCCGAAATTTTACATCTCCAAACTCCCCATAAAAGTCTTCTTCCTAATTTTTAGGGTTGGATAAGAATACCTTGACTTAAAAATGTCATGTATTCATGGTGAATAAAATGTTTAAGTCAAGCCTTCATATTGTATCCAACTTTTAGTCTCCCAAAATGAGAGACTAGTCTTCTAAACATTATAAAGAAGACTTTTAAAGGAAGTTTAGAGATACAAAATTTGCAAAAAAGTTTAGTTTTTAAGGAACTTTGCCCTCACCCCAGATTTCCTTTTTTATTTTCCCTGATGCATCAAATTTCTATGTCGGACCTTGGTAGAAGAAGGTGGGATGGAAGAGAAATGAGATGGAATGACGATTCAGAAGTTTTACTCTTTGATTTGAATGGTGCTCATATAAGTGATGGGCTGATGTCTTTTGTTTCAGGCTTTTTGAATTGGAACCTGACCTCTTGCCCCTTTTCCAGTACAACTGCAAGACGTTCTCCACTCCTCAGGAGTGCCTCTCATCTCCCGAGTTCTTGGAGCACATTAGAAAGGTAATGGATATAAAGATCGTTGTCTTTCATTCTTGAACAAACCTTTCCAGCTGCTGAAGCCTGCATTAGCAGATAGCCATTCATAGAAGAGTTAGGGTTGATCTATGTTCTGGGAGAGCTGCATTCAAATCAGGACTGGGTGCTCCTGGTCCAGCCATTCTTTCACAGGTGGACTTAGTCCTGTGGTTGTTGCGTGATAAAAAGATGTATGGTGAATAGGATTGAACTTACTGGCAGATGAATGGGTGATTTACAGTAATAGTATTCGATTTCCTTGGCCTTACCTTATACTGTTGAAATGAAGATAGCTTGTGGTAACCATAATTATTGTGTGGCTGTTGTGAAAACTAGTGTGACATAATGGTTAGAATGTTGAACTGTGGTTCAGGAGACCCATGGAACTAGAACGATTCTGGTCTAGTCACTGATTCTCAGCCTATACCACAAGGTTGTTATGAGGATAAAAAAAGGGGAGATTAATGTAAGCTGTTTTGGGTTCCTTGCAAGAAAAAGGTGAAATATACATACATAGAAACATAGAACATAGAAACAGAGCAAGTCATAAGGGGCCTCCCGGGCCATTTAGTCTGAATCCCAGCTCTAGCCAGCTCTGCTCATGACATGCCTACCCTGCATACATATGTATATGCATGTATGCATATATAAAAGGTAAAGGTCTCCCCTTGACATTAAGTCCAGTCATGCCTGACTCTAGGGGGCGGTGCTCATTTCCGTTTCCTAGCCGAGGGAGCCAGCGTTTGTCTGCAGACAGTCTCCGTGGTCATGTGGCCGGCATGACTAAACACCAAAGTGCACTGAACGCTGTTACCTGCCCACCGAAGTGGTACCTTTTTATCTACTTGCATTTGCATGCTTTCGAAGTGCAAGGTTGGCAGGAGCTGGGACGGAGCAACGGGAGCTCACCCCATTGTGCAGATTCGAACCGGCGACCTTTCGATCTACCAGCCCAGCAGCACAGTGGTTTAAACCACTGCGCCACCTGCAGTCCCCTTGCATATATATATGCATACATACAGAAATAATGATTGCTGAGTGCCATGCTATTCTGATACTGAAAACAAAATTTTGGTCTTGGAATTCTGTATAGTTTTTGTATAATTGGAATTAGATTAAGGGATCCTAGTAAAGACAGGAAAGCATCTCCCCCAAGCCTAAAGCCTGCACATTCCCACTGTAGGGGATTTTGAGCTGCTTGGAACGGAGGAAGACAAAGGGGTTGGACAGATTGCAGGGGAGAAAAGAAGAAGCACATGGGACGTTTTGTATCTCATGCAGTCCCCCCCAGCACCCCCCCATCCCAGAGTAAAGATGGCTAAAAGATAGAGAGGTGAAGGAGGGGCAGGAAGAGGAGGAGGACCAGAGGATAAAAGGTTAGTAATTAAAATGAGTATCATCATCATCATCAGTTTCAAAAACTGGGATAAGACAGGATGGGGAGAATTAAAGGGAGGTAAATGTAAATGAAACAGGAGAAGAAATGAAATGAAAATTCTGTTTGAGGAGAAGCAGGTTAAGTGTGGGACAAGCAGGAAGGGAGAAGGGGAGAACATAGAAATCCTCTGAGAGGCCTGTTTAACCTGGGAAGCAAAGCAGACAGTTAAAAACCCTTTCACTCTTTTGGATTGGAAATGCCACCACAACTGGGCAGGCCAAGTCTCAAACTGGGCAACGGAGTCTCAGTCCCTCCAGAGCCAATGTCTGCAGGTAGTTTGGATAAGGTGAACTGTGGAACTCCCTGATACAAGGAAATTGCTGTGGCAATTTTTTTTCATAATTTCCAAAACAGGACTAGATACCGATAGAAAACGATGCCAGCCATTGCCAGCTGATTTTTCCAAATTCCACTGCCATGGCTGAATTACTTTGTATCACCATTTTGGGCTCTAGTAATTTCAAGCTTTCTCAAGTAGATCCCAGCAGTAGAAAGTCTGAGAAGCCCTGGTCTCACGGGGAAAAATTATCTAGAGGCAAACATTTGTGATGAGCGTTATTCTAACTTGATCTCCTCCCCTCTGCTCCTTGATAATGCATTTTTGAAAACAGCATAAATCTATTCACTTTATGACATTTAGTGTCATTTAAATAATTAAACTTAACAGGAGCAAGGGGGAAGGACAAGCAGAAGCTAATTTCAAGGATGGGTTAAGAAAGGATTGACATTAGGGAGCCTGCAGGAATATGGAAACCTTTTTCATTTTTTAGCTGGCTTTCCACCTAGCAGTTGGCTGATTTTAATTTAATGTGTTCTGATGCTTGTAGATATGATTAAAGACTTGGTTTTAATGTTGTTTATTTCTCCGGCATGTGTGACTTTTTTGTAATAGTATACTGTAAATAAGTTTTAGCTGACATATTTTGATGAATGCTGCTTTCATTGTTCTTCCCCTTAAGCAATTTTCTCTTTGAGAAGTAGAATATAAACCGGGGTGGCTGGCAACTTTAGGAAGTTCAGGGGCTGCCGGCCTCCACCCTGAACCAATTCAGCAGCAAACCATTTCATAGTGTTTGTATACTTTCAAGGCAAATTTAACCCTTTGGTATTCTGTGATACAATGGACATGTTTTCTTTCTTTTGGTGGTGGGGGGACAATTTCAGGGGACAGTAGACAGTAAAAGAGACCACCCTGATGGTACCAAGGTCCAAATGCACTGTATGGGCTGCACATTGTCCTCCCACCAACAGAAGCGAACAATTAATTAATTAAATTAAAAGGGGGAGCTAGAGAGCAATCCTAACTATCCATCGAACTGAAGGAGATATGCTGGGAGGTAGGATTTGCCCTAATGGCAGAAAGTGAAGAGGAACTAAAGAGCCTCTTGATGTGGGTGAAGGAGGAGAGTGCAAAAGTTGGCTTGAAACTCAACATTAAGAAAACTAAGATCATGGCATTCTGTCCTCTCACTTCCTGGCAAATAGATGGGGAAGAAATGGAGGTAGGGACAGATTTTATTTTCCTGGGCTCCAGGATCACCGCAGACGGGGACTGCAACCAAGAAATTAAAAGACGCTTGCTCCTGGGGAGGAAAGCTATGGCAAATCTAGACAGCATACTAAAAAGCAGAGACATCACCCTGCCGACAAAAGTGCGTATAGTCAAGGCTATGGTTTTCCCAGTTGCAATGTATGGCTGTGAAAGCTGGACCCTAAGGAAGGCTGAGTGCCGAAGGATTGAGGCCTTTGAATTGTGGTGCTGGAGGAGACTCCTGCGAGTCCTTTGGACCGCAAGGCAATCAAACCAGTCAGTCCTGGAGGAGATCAACCCTGACTGCTGTTTAGAAGGCCAGAAAGTGAAGATGAAACTCACATACTTTGGCCACCTAATGAGAAGGAAGGACTCCCTGGAGAAGAGTCTAATGCTGGGAACAGTAGACGGCAAAAGAAGAAGGGGACAGCAGAGAATGAGGTGGCCAGATGGAGTCACTGAAGCAGTGGCGTGAGCTTAAGTGGACTCAGGGGGATGGTGGAGGACAGGAGAGCCTGGAGGAATGTTGTCCATGGGGTTGTTAGGGGTTGGGCACGACTTTGTGACTAAACAAAGGATTTGTCCCAGTGCCCCATGGTAGATGTCTAATGGCAGTCAGCTCCCAGAAAAGGAGCATGGGGTGGAGGTGGTCTTAGATGTGGACCTGGAGCCCCTCCACTCCCACAGCAGACCTCACAGCCAGGCCCATTGCCTGTGTCAAACTGGAGGTAGCATCAGCAATTCTCTTCCCATTGAAATGAAGAGGGGCGGCAGGGTGGGGAGGGGGGGAGAGAAGAAGCACCAAAGTTCCCTCCTTTGAAAGTGTCCCTCTTTCCTGCCCTGGCTGGTGCACCGCATCACTCCCTGCCCCCTCCAAAGTTAGGGTTGCTCTGTTAGATACAGTGCTTAGAACAGCCTCACTGCATTAAATGAAAGAGAGCACTTGGCCACTGGGTGGTTCCAGGGGTGGCCAGACATATTTTATTTAGGTGTTAAGGGGGTTTTTTGGTTTAACTTGCCTCCCTTAGAAATACTCAACCTGGCAAACTCCAAAACATGTGAAAAAGAAGATGCAGAAGCAGAAGAAGATAAACCAAGGGTCCTCAAACTACAGCCTGGGGGACGGATGCGGCCCGCCATGCCCATTTATCCGGCCTGTGCCGCCACTTGCTGCGCGGGCAGGGAGGCAATGGCTTGCTTGCTCGGAGATGGTTTTGGACTTGCTGGGAGATCTCTGAGCGAGCTGCCGCCACGCCTGCCCGATGGCACCTCACTGGCCCACGCGCCCAGCCACCCCCGCCTCACCCGCCCACGTGGGTTGCCGCCTTTCAGCTGGCCCCCTATTGCAAAAGTGTGAGGACCCCTGAGATAAACAAACCATACAAGCATGAAAAGGACCAGATGAATGTTGAAGCCAGTAGCCAGGTCAAATTGGTACCATGCCTTCCTTTAAAAGACTTCCCAAAGAAGGAAAGGCATGCCTGGGAGCAGGTGGACCTCTTGGCAAGGCATTTCACTGTCGTGGTGATATCACTGGTGCCCCCTCGCTGTTCCTGGATGGAGGTGGGCGGTGGGAGACTTAGACCAAGGCCTTGGCATTTGACTCCCTTTAAGGGCAGGAAGATACCTGTGGATGAGTGGAGGTAATTCATAAGATACTCTGGTCCCAAACTATTTAGAGCTTTCAAAGGGTGAAACCAGCACTTTGAATTGAGCCTGGAATGGCACAGTCAGCTAGTGCAGATGAAACCATATCTGACCCATGTGCATCAATGGACTGGATCTTGGAAATGTTTCTAGCAGTGCCAATGTGGAGCAATAAAAACTATCTTCAGAGTCAGTGCCATAAAGAACTCATTAGTGCACCTGGCCCCTACTTTGCATTCTTTCTAGCAACAGGTGAGGGTGTCTTATTTTCTCAGCATTTTAACAATTTAACTTTTAACTTTCTTTTTAATACTGCATTATCCTGTACCACTAATATGCTCCTATGCTGATTCAATTGCAATTGCTGTGGTTTTGTTGTTTTGTGTTAATTTTGTTTGTTTCTCTGTTTTTTAGCTTTTGGTAACTGCCCAGAAAGCCTCAGCTATTGGGCATCAGGACAATGAAATAAATAGAGTGCTGAAGCTGAACTACCCATCACCTGACTGTCCCAGAGCAGGGCTGATTGCATCTAGGACAGGAGGCACAGTTGTAGCAAGAGACAACTGTGTTGCTTCTTTGAAATACAGATATCTTTTCAATGTGTTTCCGTTTGGACTTCCAGAGATATGCAGCACAAGCCTTTCAGGGACTTCTGCAGAATGCCTTTAGAAAAGTGTTTCTCTTTCGGGATGGAACTCTGTTCTTCTGTTCTCTTACTGTCCTGTCTGCCTATTAGGTAATGCTGGTAATAGATGCAGCTGTAACCCAATTGGAGAACTTACACTGTTTGGAGGAGTACCTTGCCAACCTGGGTAAAAAACACCAGGCAGTTGGTGTGAAGGTGGAGTCTTTTTCAGTAAGTAAATTGTCTTTTCATTTCAAGATAGATCTGTGCCATTCAGAATTTGCCTCACCTTCCTTTCAGTTGATGAGAGGAGATTTGTTTAAAGTCTTATAAATGCATAAGGGTTTATAACGCATTTTGCACACCTTGGAATACCACAAGGACTGAAATACCTGCAATTTCCCCCTTGTTAATATTTGTATTAAGAAATACTACTGGCTCTAAAATAGAAGATTGTTGGCCTGAGAGACTCCAGCTGGGACAACTTCTCCTGCCATCTGGGAGCCTTTGAAAATACCTCCATGGCAGAAGAAAAAGCAAGAGAGGAGAATTCCAGGCCAAGAAGCTTGGGTGATGGGCTCTAGAAGACTTGGTCTACAAAGGGGCAGGAAAAAGGAGCTTTTGTATCTTAGAAAATTTCATTTGACGTATAAAATGTCTTGAATGCAATGGCAGAAAGGCAACAAGGAAATAAATACACGTCAGATGGTGAGATAACACGTAAGGACTGCTGAGTCTTTCTTTAGGAGAAAGGTTCCTATAGCATCTTCTTGGTATGTGGGAGTACAATCTTTTGTTGTTGTTGTTGTTGTTTTAAATGAGGAAGAATTATAAGGATTTCAAATCTTATGGTAAGAGTTCCAGAGTGGGGGTGGAATGAAGAAGAAATATGTGCAAACTTAATAAAGGAAAATGAAGATCATTAGGGTGGGTGCAGAAATGGGTGGGAAGAAGGACAGGTGCCCAATTACCCCACCTTTTGGTAAAATGCGTCTGGGAGAAGCTGCTAAGGGCAAAGAATGGATCTGTTCATAACTGGGAATGAGAGCTGGGTGAAAGTGATGGGGTTTCAGGAAAGATTAATGGTGGGTCCTCCAGATGGGCATCGAGGAAATGCAGTCTACCAATCACTCCCCCATAATATTTGCAAGGGTCATCCTGTGAAGCTGATTGGTGGGAAATTCAGGTCCGATAAAAAGAAGAACTTCTTCATGCAGTCCATGTTTACACTATGGAATTCACTGCCACAAGATGTAATGATGGCCACCGATTAGGATTGGACAAATGCTTGGAGGATAAATCTGTTAATGGCTACTGCTGCTTCCAGTACCACAGTTGATGGGGAACATGGGTGGGAGGATGCTGTTGCACTCATGGCCTATTTGTTGGCTTCCCCCAGTCAGTTCACTGGCCACTGTGGGAACACGGGATCTTGGTTTAAGCATGGCTCTTATGTCCTAACCCTAATCCTTTTCTGAAAACAAATTATCTTAACAGTAGTACATTTGATGTGATATTTGGATGCTCATGTGATTTTAGAGCTGTTAAACTGAAAGTGCTTCTAAGCAAAGCTAGCTTTGGCCTGAAGGCCTTAAAAGGGGTATTCGGCATCTGGTTCTCTTTTGGGGGCAGAAAAAGCAGGCACTCCTATGAAGTATGCAATAAAAAAAGCATTCATGTGTTTTGGCCTATGGGGGGGGATCCATACCCTATAATAGGGCAACATCTTTATTAAGATCAATAAAGTGTCTCAAAATTGTGAGCAACCATTTGAGTTTATTTAGCACTTGCCATCATGTTGGTTGTTTGACAAAATTGGATGGGGCTGGGGAGAATGAAACCTGGCAGGATATTAAAGCCATAAGGTCTGCAGTAGCAAAAGGATAAGGCCAAAGGAGAGTCGAAAACGTAATGGGATTAGCCTCTCTTAGCTGCTAACAAAGTGAGACAAAAAAGAAAAGGGATTTTGGGGGACAAAAATCAATCATGGCAGATCTTCTGTGCTTGTGTGTGTGTAAATGCAAGATATATCTGTTACTCAGATCAGTTTCTAGTGCTCAGTTAAACACAGAGATTCCTTTTCTAGACAGATACTTCCTTTTGGAGCTTTCATATATAATTTTTAATTTATGTAAAAAAATCAAGAAGAAAACATGGAAAACATGACCTAGTAGTTGGGTTGCATGTGACATCCCACATTGAAAGTCCCATCGTCAGGTGGTCAAAATAATCCTTTTGTTTCATGTTGCAAGGCCAACCTGCGTTACAGTAACATCTTGCCTGATGGAGGGATCTGGGAATCTCAAATGCTTGCACAGGTTTTGGTGATCCTTGGATGGGTGCAGGTGTTAAAGCAACATGGCCTTTGGGGGCGAGCGGAGCATGCCCCAGGCCTCTGCTGATCTCTGTCTCCTGTTTCCATTGCAGGCCGTGGGGGAATCCTTGCTGTATATGCTGGAGAAATGCCATGGTCCTGCCTTCAGCCCGAATGTGCGTGAGGCCTGGACCAAACTTTACAGTGCTGTGGTGAGAGCCATGAGCTGTGGCTGGGATGAGCCCAGGAAGGTGGAATAAACCTGCCGTCAGGCTTGGGGGTTCTGGCTGTTCTTAGCGGGAGCAGCTGAGAGGGGAGAGCAAGCCCACCTTCCCAGCTTGGTGTATTTCAGAGCGACCTCTGCAGTGCTCTCTCTCCTTCCCTCCCCGCTTGTTTACTTTCACATTCTCCATCTCTGTTGTGATAATGTGACGCCGCTTCCGAGTTTCACTGTGGCAGTTCCACATCTCTGTTTGCAGGGGGCATACGAGAGCCAGCCTGGCTGTTGCAGATGCAGCAGCTTCCCCTCCAGCTCTTTCTTTGCCATCATCTCCTTACAAAGGGAAATTGGAAAGATCCCTTAGGACAGAAAGGTTATTGCACCAGCCTCTCCATAGGGAGAGAGGGACTGAGATGGGTTTAGTAAAATTAATCAATGGTATGTGCATTTCCCTAGGATTATCCAAGCAGGATACTCCTTCTTCTTCTAAAAAAGTGGGTTAATTCTTAAGTACATCTGAGCTGTGCACTGGCTGGATTTTTGAAATGCTGGGCCACAGGGTCTAACATGAAAGCCAGTGGGAAAGCAGCAGCTGCCAGTTCCTTGTGTGTGAAAATAAAAACTTGTAGTGAAATTAGTGGCAAACGCAGCCTTCGTTCTGGGAAAAGCTTCCAGGATTCATCCTGGTTTCTGGCCAAAGAGAGTTGGTAGCATAAAATCCATTTCTGGGCATTGCCATTCATGTTCTTCTTCCCAAAGCATATTTGAACAGCCTTTTGAATGCTTGAAAGAATCCTCTTAGGGTCTGAAGTTTTTGTCTGGTTTTAATTAGTCCTCATGATAGAGCCCATCCTGAGAAATTAGAAATGCAGGCAGCCTTTGGTGTAGATAGCAAGCATGTAAGCAGCCCTCCAAATATACTGGCTAGAGATAAGAGGTATCGTAGTTGAACACATCTGGAGAATATCCAGTTGCGGAAAGCGAATGCGAAGTCAGCTCTTCCTTTTGCTCTGGAAGCAGAGAGGCCCATAAAAAAACAATTGGTGGGTCAAACCTGGTTTGTGTTTGTGAGGGGGCAGAATACATACATTGTCTTACAGACAGGCAGGAATCCTGCCCCCCATGATGCCCATATGATAGGCTGGGATGGTGATTCTTCCACTAAATCCACTGCCACTTATGTGGCCTAGGAAAGCTGCAAAGGTCTGGATGGCCCCAAATGTGCCAGTGGCAAACTGTTTCCTTGGCCACTAAGAAGCTGCTTTTCTGCCTGTGCTTTACATGCCATCTAATAAACCAATTTAACAGTGCTTCAGGATTGTACCTTGTGATTGTATTTAATGTGTGTAATTACATGATTTTGGCAACTAGGTATGGATGATCTTCCGGGCCGTGTGGAAGCAATTGCCCGCTCATGTTCATACATTTCCTTTGTCTGTGGGTGACCTTATTTTTTGCATCAAAATCAGTTTAAGGTGTGATCCTCTGCAGGCTGGCAGGACTCACGTGGGAATTGTAAACTTGTTCTTTGTCTAGACATGCATATGACTGAGCCCTTTGAAATCTTCCTATGTTTGGGTTAATTTTTATGTTGTGTTAAAATATATTTGTAGGGGCACTTAAGCCTTTTTTGTTTTTGAGAAAATGTTACATGTTGCCAAGCCTCTGTTGTGTCCATTAACTCCAAGAAAGCTTCGGGACAAATGCGTTGCACAAAGGACAACACAGCGCAAAGTGGAAAGCATCCTCCAGCACTGCGTTTGGGCCCACGGTTTTAATGCAGATTGAAGTCATAATTTTGGGCTGAAGCCTGAAAATCAAGCTGCTGCTTTCTACTGTGGATGGTTTGCCATTCTGAACCCCTCAACAGAATTTTCCTTTTGTTGAAGAAACTGACATGGACCTAGTTTTCTGGCTCTGGAGAAGTTCTCAAAAGTGTGACAGCCTTGCTCTGATCAACAGGGGCAATGCAGACACATGTTAAGCATAATGCTCTTCTCTAACCATGGAGCAGCAGCAGAAAACCTTTGAGAGAGAAAGCAGCAGCCAAGGGGGACTGAATCTTTTCCATAGTTTGAGCTGTATTAATATGGCATATTCTCCACTCTGTCCAGTAAATTGCAGAATCCCGCTGGTGAGTTCCAGTGCTTTAACACACCTCCTAGCTCTTCTCTTTCCTCCTTCCTTTCCTGCCTCTCTCTGCACAAATGTTCTCTCACCTTTTTCCTACCTCCCGCTGCATAATGCGTCCAATAAGCCCAGAACATCTGTACATGTCCTGCTGAGTTTGGGCAACATTCCTTTGCTCCTCCCCAAACTTTTTTTTTTTTGGTGGGGGGAAGAGTGAAGTTGGAGTGGCATAATGGTAAATCCTTGGCAGTCAGATCTGTTTTATGAGCAAAGGAAGGCTGTGCGACAGTAGCCAACTGGGAATTAAACATGATGAGAGATGATCAGATTCTGTGTTGGTCATCGGAAATGCTTATTCCTGCACAAACTATGTTAATTGCACTGATTTAATACTGTCTGGAAATAGATATATATACCCCCAACCCCCTGAGTCCTTAGGATAGATGTTGGTTGGTTTTTTTTTTTTTTGCAGAGCTTCAGTCTTCCTTGTAGCTACTTGGTGTGCGTTTCCATGGCATTCTGTAACTGTGACCCAGTGACTTGTCCCAGGGTGACTGAGGCCCAGTTCTCTGAAGTAGCAGGAAAGGAGACAATAAACCTGTTTCTGAGTTTTGTACTGTTCCGGGCCTCAGGCCCACTTCACTGAATGCTCCTCAATACAAAAACATTTATTGCATACAGAACCCTAAATGTTGGGAATGTCTTGTGCCTTTCATAGCTCTTTAGATGCTTTTTGTGTGCCATGTTTTGTTGAATTTCAAAGAAATAAAAATTCTGCTGTTGGTGTGTGTCAGACCTGTTTGGGATGATGTCTCTTTTGCCTATTGCATCCACTGGTAATGTGGCAGTGTGAAACCAGTATGATGTCAACATGTTCCTAGAGGCGTTTTCTTCTCTGTGCATGGCTACTTTTCCCAGGAGAAGTGGATCCAACTGTGGTCGCTCCCTTGGTTTATATGACTGCTGTTTATATGAAGTTCCTGCCATCCTCCTCTGGTGAAGGAGGAAGGACCAAAGCTGCCCTTAGTCAGGGACAGCCAGCAGTTCTCCAGGATTTCACGAAAATGCCTCCCCATCATGTATCACCAGATCCTTTTTACTGGGCATGACAAGATTAAACCTAGGACCTTCTGTCACGGAGTATAAGGCTATTATTGGCTACTCATCATGGGGAAAGTCCAGTGAGTAGCGGCTGTTCCACTCCTGTCCCACTTGTGGGCGTCCTGTGGGCATCCAGCTGGACACTGTGGGAATGGCATGGTGGGCCAGATGCTCTGCTTACGTTCTGACATTCTTCATGCAAAGTGTGTATGCTTCTACTGAGCTAGGCTCCTTTCCCCGAGCGTCACAATTCTTGCAGCACAAGATGACAGCATTTGAGAGTTTCCCCCTCTAAGCATAGGTGTCCTTTCAGGATCTGGATTTCACCATATCTCCAGGGGTGCTTCCTACAGGTCCTGTGCTGTAGCACATGTGTGGGAAACTGCCATGTGGCTGGCAGTGAAAGAAAAAAGAGTAGGTCAAAACTGGGGATCTGAATCTTTTCAATGCGTGCAGAAGCACCTAAAGTTGTGATTCAAACTTAAGATCATATTTTTGGAATTTAAAACAGAAAAGTAAGTGTTCTTTATTGCTAAACTCTAGAAAGACTACAGGGAATTGGTTCAGTTTTTTGATCAAAAATCTGTGCTAGATTCAGTTTGGTATATTTGGATCCCAGCCACAGCAGCTGGTAACTTGGCCCTGTGTCTGCAAGATGTCCAGACAGAGATTTGATTGCAGAAGCCCATGTCACTGGTACATGACATTCTGGGGCTGTTCTGCATGTGTGCAGGTGTAGTTTTTCCTGCCTGGCTTGGATTTACTAAGTGGGAGTGAGTTCGGCAGCTTTAATCTGCCCGTTCCTCAAAACAAAGCAATGTAGCTGTTAGCCATTCCAAATGAAGCCCTTGGTTCCCCCTTGCCAGCCTTTGCCCTGGGATACCTGGAGCTTTTGCTATCACCCCATCCTGACGTTCTTGCATTACAGTGATAAACCTGGCAGGAACATGCGAGCTATGTGGGAGCACTGATTTCCATAGTAACCAGAACAGGTGTGTGCCAAGGCAGATGGTTGCCTGCAACCACCGCAGCAGGTAGTTTTTCCTCATTGCCAGAGAGTGATGGACACTCTGGATGGGAGAGCAAAGCAACAGAAGATGGAAATACATTTTACCCTGTGCGGTTTAAGCCCAGGGGCCTGTCTTGACTGCATATTTCCTCTGCAAAACTGAGAATGGCTGAGAGAGCAAGGGACACCTCAGAAGCATGAGGGTCTGTGTGTGAAGGGGCTGATGTCCCAGGCAGGCGGCTGCACTAAATGAATGTCGGCTCTGATCCCATTAGGTAGTTTTGCTCCTCTCCACTCGTGATCTCAATGCTCATTGATCCCACCCTGATGATTATCTGAGATCTTGGTTGGGTGGACTGGTCACCTGCTTTGGATGAAATCTGTATTCCTGTAGGGTAGTTACATCTTCTCATTTGCTAATTGCTATCTTAATTCCTTTGGTAAATATTTAAGAAAAATTGTGGTTCATGTGGGGCCACTAAAAAGAAGGAAATGGCAAGGTGACAGCATGTTAGTCAAATGGAGGACATATAGTTGGTGCACATGTAATGAGGGCCATTCAAGGAAATTGTTTTCTGGCCACAGGCCTTCTCTCGCTGCCTCACCCATTGCCCTAGGAAGCCAATCACCATTGCATGAATCGTGTGTCAGTTGTTCAGCTGCACTCCACTGACCGATGACACGTCAACCAGTACCGGTGGCTATTTGACATGCGCATAGCCTTTTAGCTCAGCTTTGTCGTCACAGAGGTGGTCAAAGCCCGATACTGGCTGTGTGATGTGAGTTTCCCTCGGCCATTCTGAGTAGCTGATGGGAGACTGAAAAGTTTCCCTTGAGCTTGTCCTTGGTGCCTTCTTTGTGCCCGATTGGATTGGTCCTTTAGGAGTCATCACCCGCTCCTTCCCCATCCTGCCCCAATATGACTCATTGGAAGGGGCTGTGCAATTGTAACAATCCCTTGTGGAGCCCCCTTCCTTCTCAGTGTTCCTTTTGCTCCCTCAGGGTTCATCCTATGAGTCTAGTTGTGTTTTAGGCCTTTGGCAGACTCCAGCACATTTATATCTGTTATTGGCCGGGGGGGGGGGGCGGGGGCTGCCTATAGAGGTTAAACCACTTTGAAACCACTTTATATTTTAAGGTTGACATCAACACTCACTGCTCTCTTAGCTTTATTATCTCATTCTGTCTGCCAACCAGCTCTAGGAAACTCCTGAGAGCACTGAGCCAAGAACCTCCTCAGAGCACTGGGCCACGGCTCAATGTTCACCGGTTCTTGCATCACTTCAGAATATGCGAAGCACAGTTCAACCCCCCCCCCCATCTTTTAGCCTGCCATTAAACTGAACTGAAACATGACTTAAGCCTGATGGGGTGCATAGGCCTAGAAGAGTTTTCAAAACAAGCTAGTTTAACCATGTGGGCTGCTTACACCCCCCCCCCCCTTACAAATGTGTTCATTTAGGCTAAGAGCTGTCCTGGGAAGATTTTGAGTGGAACGCGATGGATTGGCAAATGTTGTCCCAGCGCTGCTTTTGCAGCACTAAGAGCCGTTTTCAGGTATTCTAATCCTCCACGTAAATAGACCTGGAGGGGACTGCAGGAGGGGGGGATGGAAGCAAAGCTGGGGAACCAAGGGTCACTTTAGATGCCAGGAAGTACTTCCTGACAGGACCCCGGGGGTATGGAATGGGCTTCCACAGGGGGTGGTCGAGGCCCCATCGCTGAGGGTGTTCAAGGATAAGCTAGACATGCACATGGTGGGCAGGTTGTGAGCGGAGCCGGCTGGAACCATGGGTCAGACTGGATGGCCCAGGAGACCCCTTCTGACTCACTTTGTTTCTATGATCAATCAGTGGGGTGCCTGCTGTACCCACAAGGCTCCCCACAGGTCCTGCTTCAAAGGCAAGGTTGGCTGGACTCCTGCTGATGGGCCGCAACCCAGCGGGATCCCACTAACAAGAGCCCTCTGGACGTGTTCCTCCTCTTCAGGGCTGGCGCCTGTTGATCTGCCTCCTGTTCTGGCCCAGGCAAAAGTGATAGAGGAGGCGTGGGAGATGCCATGGCCTCGTTTGCCAGATCTTGGCCTCTTAAGAAAGCATCAGGAGGCAGTGAGGATGATCAACAGGCGCTGGTGAAAATGGTGGCCAGTAGCCTCCATTTTCAGTGCCTCTAATGGGGCCTTGCCCAGGGTTGCTCAACCACAAGGGGGCTGGCACCACACTGAATTCTGGAGCAGGTATTTCTGTGATGCTGAGGGTGTAATCCCTGTGCAGACATAGCCAGAGCGGCAGGGCCCGCACCTTGCAGCCTGCCCCGGCAGCGGAGAGGGTTACAGAGATGGCGAGGGAAGGGCAGGTGGAACTTCCGCACTCCTCCCGCTGTGCCTCATGCGATTCAAGCCCATCAGGGATTAGGATTAGAACCTCTCAACAGGGTTATATGGGAGGAGTCATAGGGGAGGATCCATAGGTGGACCATAAAATGCCTAGTCTCTCCCTAACCTTCCAAACAGTGTTTGGAGCAGGTTTCCAGCTCCCCCTGTTGGGCTTGCTTCAGATCTTAGAGACTAGTTGGAGCCTAAACCATCAAACTGCTGAAGGGATACTTACAAAGAAGCATTTATAGATGGCTGGCATGTTAAGCAGCACCCCTTATTCCACAGGGTCTCTCCATAGACAGAACAGTTTCAGGAAAGCTGCCCTCTCTCTCCGCAACATTGGGATGTGACTAATAGTGCTGCTCGTTGTGTGGGAGTTAAGGTTGGGTGCATGAAATGAGTGAGGCTTTCCGGTCTCTCATATATGCATAAGAAATGGGATTAGGAAGGGGAAAGGGAGAACCTCCGTTAGGCCTTCAGACTAAGGTTTTCCGAAGGAAGAAACCGATGGGGACCATATGGCCATGGGTGCAGCTGGGGAATCCCTGGTGGAAACAAGTGACTGAAGGCTGATGACTAGGGCTTGATAGAAACGTTGGTCCAGTATTAGACTTCATCTGAACTGGTCTTGTTGGAGCTGGCTCCCAGTGTGACTTCGCTGGAGCACGCCTGCTAAGGACAAGTTGGTTTGTTTCCAGAGTGTAGATCTTCGGGTGACCAAAACAGCACCGATTTGACTGGGGTGGCAGAATGGGAACTTGGGGAGACTGCATGGTATCCTAGAAGGGGCTATGTGGGCAGGGTGAATCCCTGAACAGGAGTGCACAGCACACTGCAACATTTTGTTGAGGCCCCACTTATTTCCCAACCACAAGAGAGTTTGCCATTGTGCAGTTCACTTTGGAACACCCACGCGCAAGAAAAAAGCATCAGTTGGGGCAAACCCTGGAAGGGGCTGTGGATATGCAGGGAAGAATTCCCATGAAGGCTCAGTGGCACGGAATGTAGCGACACTGAGAGAAGGGAAAAATCGACACTGGCCTGGGAAGGTGAATGAGATGGAGTGGTTGGAAAGGGAGGAAGGAATAAGACACACACAGAGAGGAAGCCATGCAGAGAACTATTCTTAGAAAAAGGAGACATCCAAGGTTGAGACTGGGTACCAGTTGTTCCCTGAACCCCTCAAGTTAGCAGCAGACAGAGGAATCCCCCATCTTTCTAACTCAATTCTTACTTGGTGTGAAACATGTTTAAAAATCCTGCCTATGCCAATTCCAGAGCAATTGCAGTTCACTCTCCACATTGCAGACTGGAAGAGGCTGTGGCTGGGAAAAAGGTAGCCTA